CATCGCCATCACCATCGCCATGGCCGTCATTCCCACCGCCAGGCGGACCCATGCTCATGGAAATGGACGACTCCTCCATGAAAAATAAAAGTTCCAGCTCGGCGTCGTTCGTCACATCTATGGGTGAAGAATACCGCAGCACTCTTCTTTTGGAGGCACGGGTGTCTTCTGGTCTGGTGACCACAGCGATCATTTCTTGGTTTCTCTTGCGCATCAGCCGATGCGTCGATCCTTCCACAGCACGCATGAYCGCCGTGGAAAGAACCACCAGCCGGAGGATTCTCGGCGTCATGGTTTGTTAGTGTATTCTTATAATATCCTCCGGTTACCTTGTTTGATTTCGATTGGGTCCGGATGCTCGTTGGGCAAATTATGATTGGCATGATTGTTGGTGTGTTCTGATAGAAGAAGAAATTAGGCGAAGAAACGACGCCACTCGAATAACATCCGACTTCGAAACATCAAAATTGGAACCTTGTGAGCTTCTTTCGTTATCCATTGGCTTGTCTCGAATATGTGATCGAACCCTGAACGCCGTTGCAAAATCGGGGCAATTCGAAAAATTACGTGAGTTCGCTTGGAAAGGAGGCTCCTGACCGAAAATTGCATCCGATGTCGCAATAATGCAGAACATTAAAAAAATATGCTTCACAGGATTTTGCATCCTTATTTTGTTCTCAGTTGGCTAGATTGGCTAAATACGGCCACTCAAACGCCGTTGAATAGGCAGGGCTATAATAGAGAAGTGTCCTCAACTAATTTTTTATGGACCCCTACATCGATCCAAGTACGAAGTACAATACAGCGATTGTGCTTCAAAAAAGAATACAAATGACTTCAATGTACATGGGCTGTTTGTTCTTTGATGTCCGCGGTGGGGAAGAGAGAACTCATGTAAAAATCTTCAACCAAAACCAGAAACCTATGTATGGTACATACGATGAATATGTCCGTAACTCGTATTAGCAGAACTCGTGATTCCGTTTCACAGCCGGACATACGGTATGAAATTCCAGTTTGACAGATGCCACTGAACACTGAATGGTGGACAGTTTGTACACATGATTAGTACGTAATCTACGTACAAGATGATATTGGCAGATCATCTACAGTATGGATACTTATAGTACCATACGTACCATACAGTAATAAGTACCATAGGAGAAAATAATAAGCAGTACCGGTACAAGTACCGTACGTACTCGTACCGGTACGAGTACGAACCAGTACGAACGAATGAAATTATCGCACGACCTATTTTTCGCTCACACGGTCGAATGATGGTTGGAAAATACAAAATACAGTACTGTACTTTATTGGAACACCAACACCGTAGAACCTATGGTGTCGCAACCAAAATGGCGTTGATCCGTACCGTACTTTGCGATCGAGGGGGCAGGCCAACAAACGCGGGCCACTGCGGTTTCTCGCCGTTCTATTGGATGGACCGGCGGCACCGGACTCCACGCGGTCGGCCTTTTGTTCCGCTCGCAACGAACAATCCGTCCGATCCTTTCCCGTCCCGTCCTTTCCCGTTCTATTCTATTCTCCGTTGCCAGCGCCGCGGGGGTCGGGAACGGGTGCCACCCATCGACGCAAGCAGGCTTCGTTGGGAGCCAACAACTCTGCCCGGTGTTCCACCGTGCCACGGTGGAGCCAGGTCCGTCGCGCAGGCCCGTGTTTCGCTTCGTTTCGTTTCGATTCTCTTCGCGCACCGGGGTTGCTGCCTGGATTCCGAGGAAACGGCAGCAGGGAACAAAACGACAGACAACGAGGACGGTTCGGAGCTGCGGCCGTGCCAAGACGAATGCGGTCCACCCGGGACAATCCCTTTCTTCGCTCCGCCAAAGATCGTCGCGGAATGAATCCTCTCCGGCGACGACAACGACAACGACAATGAACGACAACGACGATCCCGAACGAGCCGTCCAATCGCCCCTTGCTCTTCTCCCGCATACCACGGCGGCTGGAAGAGGAAGACGAGGACGAATTCTTTCCACGGCGTTTGTCACGGGGCTCGCTTGGCGGTCGAAAAGACTCTGGTTTTCGAGGCGGGGCAAAAAAACAGTTCCTTGTCCTTGCCATATCCATTCGCGCAGCTAAATTTTGCAATTCCATCACTGCAACCAACATTCCATCAGTATTACCAGTCAGCAAGGTTGCCGTTACTACTTTATTTGTTACAACGAACGAAGGATCCTCCAGGCATGCCAAAGTCCCGTCGAGCCGCAGCTTGATTCTTGTCAAATATTATTACTATCTTATCTACTTCATATTCCGTTGGTGCCAACCAGCGCCGTCAAACCCGGGTGCTGAGTTTTAGACTTCCGCCAGCTCAGAAGGCAAGACGGTTTTCCAACTGGTTTCGAGACCCCCCTTCCACCCGTGGATGAGCGACTCCTTTGTTAGATCTCTATTTCTCGCACTTCTCTTCTTCCTTCAACTTTGGCTTCTTCTCATCTTCAATCGGTTTCCTTTTTCTCTTTCTTAGACTTCTTATCTTTTTTAGACTTCTTATCTTCCTTAGACTTCTTATCTTCCTTAGACTTCTTTTTCTCTTCTTTCTTCTTCTTCTTCTTATCTTTTTTCTTCTTCTTCTTTGCTTCCTTTTTCCTCTGCTTCTCTAGTTCCTTCAAAAGTTTCTTGGTTTGCTTTTTCATGGCTTTCAGCATCTCCTTTCTTTCCTTTGTAGCCTTGTCATCGGTATCCTTGATGGTAGATTCGTCATCGGATTCCCCGCCTTCGGAAGAACTGTCCTTGGAAATATCTTCGGACTTCACAGTACTTACAGAACTGACGGAGCTGTCAGTGTCAGAAGAGAATTCAATACTTGGGGGGGGTGAGGACTGGCTTCCATCTTGTAAGTGTTGTACGTGTTTTACGTGTTTGTTCCACCTTTTGTAATCGTTAATGCCGACTCCGTATCCAAGTCCGGATCCACAAACAAAAGAAAAAATGATCATAAGAGCCCATTCTAGTTTGGTTGGAGCGCAATCGTTAGCCGCCAATTCTGATGACTCGGTTTCAAGTGCAAGAGATGGAACTGTAGCTGTATCATTCGATGGCGCAGTGGTGGGAGAGTTGCTTGGAGACAGGGTGTCAGGGTCGGTCGGAGACGGGGTCGGAGACACGGTCGGAAGGTTTGGCTCGGGTGGAGGATCGAGAGAAGGCGCGCT